TACTAGGGGCTCCTGGCCATACTACTAGGAGCAAGAAGCTACTAGTAACTAGTAGCAAAGGGCATCGCGCTACTAGTAGCAAAGGGCATCGCTACTAGGAGCAAGGACGCACGTAGGAGCAAAAATACGTGTTTGGCTCCTGAGTTCTTGTGATTTCTAATCCGGCTCCTTGTCCCAGGTCCCGCGGTCGTCCCGACCCTGCTCTCCTGTGTCTTCGGGTTGGCCCCGGCCGGCTCGAAGACCTTGATGCCTCGTCCGAAGTCTTCGCCGTGACAGCGGCACGGCTGGTTGGTTCCGATGCCCACGTGACTTGCAAGATCCAGGTGTAATATAGGTATATACCTATACAGGTCTAATCATTACAAATGACTTACACTTATATACCTGGAGCCTGGAACACCTACCAAAATCTATAATCGTTTGGTGTTCCAGGTATAGCTTAGAACCAAGAGCTAAACAAAGAAAACACATGAAAACACGCTTTACACCAGCGTACCCGACGTCGAACCCGACGACTCCACGCGTCCCGGTGCCTCCCGGCAGGCCGATGTCGCCCTCATCGAAGTCGGTGCGCTGGTCCAGAGCGAGCCTGACGGTCGACGGTCACCACGAGAAGAGTCGGTGGAAACCGAGGGGTGAACTTGACGATTTTGATCCCGACATGACCACGAATCAGTTCCACATATGGGACTGCATTTTCAACAGGAAACTTCTTCTCCGGGCTCTAGCACCGAACATGCTCCGCTGACGGGGGTGACCGGGCACTGCGCCCGCCCAGATGACCACCCTCGAAACCCGAGTCCCGGATCGCGGCGGCCTGGTCACGAAGGCTTTCCACTTCTTCATCTGCACCGCCTATCCCCGCTGGGAAAGCCCCGCCTATCCTGCTTGGTGGGATAGAAACACCAGCTGAACGAAATTCCGGATGATTTGCGGTGCTGGTTGAAACTTGAAAACCTGATTTTTGGGTCAACATCTGGATCGATTCCCGGGCTTCGGGTCCTTCTTCCGACAATGCACTTTGTGCCTAGCACTTTCTCCACTGCTGTGTTTCTCAATGATGGATCTCTTTCAAACATTCGCCAGCTGCTTGGCAGCCAAAGGACTATGTAACTCAAGCTACTCCCACACTCGAAAAAGAACATCAACCTGCAAAAGACCCAAAGGAAACGACGCTTCAAACATATTCAAGGCATTTCAAATCTCAAGGTTTCCCAGTAGTTCGATTTGTTGAAAAGGAAATCAGGCGCCACGTCGTGTTTTTTTTAATGCTTAACTCTATCCAAGATCCCTATATCCAAATTAAAGTACATTTGAGACATCACCAAAGCATGTTGAATAGGGACTTGGACAACTGTTGTATATAGTTTCTCCCCAGTTTCAAGAAGCTTACATCAATTATATACCAGATCCCACACTTATGTCACTACCCAAGGTGCAGCAACAGCCTACACTGGGTCACCTACATTGCGTGCTTTCCCCTTGTACAAACCACAACGCATTGATACGAGGCAATCCTACAGATTACTTCTGCAGCTAGGATTGGAGTGCGTCAGTCATCCGCAAACAAAGATTTTGATGAGTTTGGATGCTTATCAGCATTTGGCAATGTGAGCCTGACAGCTCAAGCACGGCAGCGGCGCGGTTTCCAGGATGTTGGGAAACATAGGTGTTGGCGGTGCCTTCAAGGTATCCAAGATCACATCTCCTCGCGACAACCTCGCATGGCCCTCGCTGTCTTCCGCCAAAGAGGAATGCACACCACAGAACTGCCTAGGTCAATTTCCGGCTCAGCCAATGGAGGAGAAATCTTTCTTCAAGGTGGTGAGGGTGAGGGGACCGGAAAAATAAAGCGCAACACCTTGTTTTCCATCTATAGTCTGGTTTAGAAAGACTGTGACCTGAAGGTGACCCACTTTGACCGACCCCAAACCCGATGAAGCGCGACACCAGCGATGCTGCGGTGTTGATTGGTGGGACCAAGTCCGTTAAAAAAAGAGAACGGCGACTGCATGCAAGTCTCCATGTCAATCAAATGCTGCAGTGTTGACTGGATTCACAGACTAAGATGGGCACCTAAAACCATGTTTAAGTACACTGGTAGAGGACCATGTTCTTGAGAAAACGTTCGGTGATGTTCCTGATTTACTTCATCCAGGGTACGAAACTAAGATGTTGAAGAAGAAGCTGTAGACCAAGAGCAGGAACAAAGCAATGACCTCGGGAAGGGGATTCGGGACGTCCGCGGTGTCAGCGTGGGTCTTTCGAGTTCTATCCACCCAAAATCACCAGATGTTCATCAATACTTCGGGTGGGTCTGTCGACGGAATCGGAGTTTTGATCACTCCACATCCTCTTGAGGAAGCTAGAAAACGCAACCACCTAGTGAGAAAGCTCATATTCCCAACCCCTCCGAACATTTATGCTAGCATATGGTGGAAAGCGTCATGTGCTGAAGCATGCATCAAGACGCCGATGCTGGCACCAGCCAAGGTCTCGCCGGACTGAAAAGAGCTTTGTAGGACAAACTGTTGGATGCATGAAGCTGCATTTACTCTCTTCAACGGATTCGTAACCTCGGATTACGACTGTCGTGACTGGCAGTGACATTTGATACATGGTGAAAGCAGTACCACCTACACCACATGACCGGAAAAGCGCTCATCAGCACATCGTTGGATGTCTGAACGGAACAGCTCGAACAAAAATAGACATCACATCAGGTCGACTGAAAAAGACCCTTCAACCTCAAACCATTTGATCACATCCTATCCAAACAAACCTAGACTCCAGGAGTTTCGAGTTTGCTCATTCAGATTCCATAGATATAATACTAGAATACATACAACATAATGTAAACATATACTATAACTTATATTATACATTATTAGTATAAAT